GCTGAACGGCAGACAACACTTAAGGCTCCGATTCTCTCCCCATAGAGACCCATATTCTTAGCGAATGTCAACGCAATCATCACTTGATTCATACGCTCAGCGAATAGCTTAACGACTCGAGAGTCCTCCTCAACAGATCCCGAAGCGAATCCCTGATACGCGCAGTCGAGGAATGCAAATAAATTTCTCCTTTTCATTATATCTATCATTTGTTTCCATTGATCTAACGTGGGATCAACTCCGGTAGGGTTGTGTGCGATTGCATGCAATACCACCACTGAATACTCGGCCATATTCTCCATGTCTTGAATAAGGCCTTCAAAGTCGAGGGTCAAAGTTCTTGAGTCCCAATATCTGTAATGATTGACTTGAAAACCTGAATGAGAGAACACCTGATTGTGTGCACTCCAGGTCTGCTCCGGTATGTAAACCCTTTTGCTGTGGGAAAGGAATTCATACAAGAATATGGCGCCTATTCTTAAAGAACCAGTGCCTCCGAGTCCTTGAACTGTCGCATGTCGTGCCAGTGCTATGACATCACTGGTGTCTCCAAACATAAATTTGGCGACAGTTTGGCGAAAGTCGGCGAACCCTTCGATGGGCGCGTATTCTTTGCAAGGATTCTCCGATATAAGCCTTCGCTCGCATTTGGCTACACTCGGAGGGATGAATGGCTGTCCCCTCTCATCCCTGTAAACACCAATACTTAAGTTGATTTTATTAAGCCGATCGTCTCGCATATATTCTTCCTGAACGCCATATATCTTATCGGATTCAGCCCTCACTACACCACTAAACCAATCCATTTCACATAAAATGCAATGATATCCACTTTACTGAAGTCAAATCAAATACTGTACTTTGTTAGAGTCCTTACAAATCAGTATTGATTTATTAATACAAATTTTCTGTAATTTTAAAATAAATTTTTAGATTAAAATTTTATCGGATTTCAAGGGCAGATGGGATTTCACGTCTACACAACTGGTTCTTACGTTTCAGTAAATGTCTTGAATTTTAATGTTAAAACTTTGACCTCATGTCTAATATAAGAATAAAATCAGATTCACTAACTTATATTAAATGATATAATAATATAATACAGTATTACAAATATTACTTAATATATTCCACTTTTACCGTAAATGTGAAAATTTATTAAATAATATAGAATCTTCATTATTTATAATTCACTGTATAAAAA